GTGGCAGTGGTTTGGGGTCCTTAGCCAAGGCCTCGCCTTCGGTGCCTTTGTGTGAAGCTATGATATATGAGAGGCCACAACAGAATCTGCAGTTTCCACAGAAATACATCCCCGCATCCAAAGTCTTCGACTGCAGAATTGCAAAGGCCAACTTGATGTCTGTTGAGGGAGCAGGTTATAAATGGTAACACCCCAAGCACGGGCCTTATTCTCTAGAGAGTTAAAGCCTAGGTTGATGGCATGACCTTCAGTGGAGGTCAGAGCAATGTATGCGGGAAGGGGTGTGTCACTCAAAGGAGAGAACCAGGACACCCCAGCCGGGGGGTTGAGGACCAAGATCTGTCACAGTCAGAACTGAAAATGTTCCTCTGTGTGTGTGTATTTTTAAATATGTTTTTATTGATTTATAGAGAAAGAGGGAGAGGGGTAGAGATATAGCAACATTGATGAGAGAGAGAAACGTCATCAATTGGCTGCCTCCTGCACCCTCCCCTCCCCGCACTGGGGATCGAGCCCTGACAAGGAATTGAACCAGTGACCTCTTGGTTCATGGGTTGACACCCAACCACTGAACCACACCAGCTGGGCTATGTGTGTTTTTAAACTAGTCTGGCCTCTTCCAGGATCCAGGATGAAAATATAGAAAGAAAGCCAAGTTTCATAAAGACAAAGAAATATGGTGGTGTTTTACATTTGCTGTCTTCTGGGGCAGATGTCGTGGATTGGGCAAAGAAGCAATACTCTTTCTTAGGGAGGAAAATGAGATTCTTCAACAAGGAGTGTTGGTTTCCCTAGTGCAGGGGTGGGCAACCCCTGGCACACGTGCCAAACATGGCACGCCAGTAACTTTTGCTGGCACGCAAAACCCTCTCTTATAATCTTCCATTTACAATTTTTTTCTTAATATGGACTTTTTTTTCAGATAAATTCAGTGTAGGTGCATCTTAGATAAATAAATAATTTTACATAACAAGTTATCTTAAAGACCATAGACATGGATTGACGAGAGAGAGGAAGAGCAATTTCTATGCCTCTGCCTTAACTCTCCCTGCCTTCCTAGATCCGACCAGTGTTTTGGTTTCATCCACATACGCTTGTGAATCTTTGTTCTCAGTGATGAATTTTGTTAAGTCTCATAATAGGAGTAGCCTGATGGATGAAAGTAATAGCTCATGCATATCTCTGAAGGTCACGAAATATAAACCTGATGTAAAATCTCTGTCATCAGTGATGCAGCAGCAAAAGTCCCACTGATAATATCAAACGGAGTCATAAAGTTTTCTGTCGGACTATCAGTGTACATGTATACATTAAAAAATAAATGTATTTTTCATCATCATATACTGTGTTTTTGTTGCTCGAATGAATTTTATTTCTTCAAGGTTCTTCACATACGTACACCTTAAGAGATATTAAGTAGGCGTAACATGTTCTCAAAATATTAGGGTTGGCACGCAGAAGAATTTTGAGTCAGAGATTTTGCTGGTTTTGGCACGCACTCACAAAAAGGTTGCCCCCCCCTGCCCTAGTGTCTGTCAGTGACTGAGGCGCTGATGACCTGTTTGGAACACTGACCCACACTCACGGCCAGGAAGCAAGGGATGGCTACGACCATGCCTGACAGCGGCTGGGCTCGCTTCCGACTGACAGCCAAGGGCACCCACTTCCCCCGGGGACGAGCCTCAGTTTCCTCTGGGCTCTACTACAATTTGTGACCCTTGTAGCTACACCCAGCCGTCTGTTGAGTCATCGATGGTGATAAGCTCTAAGGCTACTATTCCAACACCTATTCAACAGACACATAAACAGAACCTCCGAAAATGGACATGAGTACCATCTTTGAAAAAGAGAAGAGAAACATCGTTCAGTGAAGAGAACTAGAGGGTGTTTCATTATGAGCCGGTTGTTGTAAGAATCCTCTCTGTGCGGGGAGTGGCTTGTGCTAAGCTGCCTATGGAAGGAGCTTTCTCCTCCCAACACCAGCACCTTTATTTATGGGTGTGTTTACACATGGAAGATGTTAGAGACCCAAGTGGTGGAAGCACCAGCTTTACTGACTTAGCACCCTCTCTGGTGTTAGAAATTCCAAATGAGGAAATGAACAGTGAGACCCCTCCCCCCCCTCTGCAAAGAAAAGGCTGGTTTCATGTGTGAAGACCAAGAACACAATAATAATAAGTTGGATGATATATCTTGTTACTGTTAATACTTTCATATGTGTAGTCACTCTGAGATGCAGGCAATTTCCATCTGAAAGACTTCATATTCACTGAGAAAATAGTCACTGAATAATAAAAGGAGGCGAAAGAAGAATAGATGAATGTTTAGTGGGTCATCTTCACCTGCCAAAAGCTTATTAATCATTCGAGTCTCAACTCAATTCATGACTCTCCCTGATCTCTTCTGCCTACTCTAGACACCCTGCTATCTACCTTTCTGATTTCCTTCAATGCTGCTGTGTGTTTAGTTTGGTTGATTGTTGCTTAAGACTCTGTGCTTTTAAAATTTTTACTCGTTGGCATAAATCTCTCCCATCTTAATGTGTGCATGTCAGGTGAAACATCCACTTTGCATGTGGTCTTTCCTGTTTACCTCTTCAATATTTTCCTCTCTCTTCTTGAGTTTCCTACACTTGCTGTCTCTCTTTTCTCATCTTCTCATCTCGCTCTTTCCAACTATCATAGCCTCTCTTGCCAAGTTCATCCACAGCCCTGGCCCGGGTGGCTCAGCTGGTTGGAGCATCGTCTCATACACCAAAAGGTTTCAGGATCAATTCCCCGTCAGGGCACATGCCTACGTTTCAGTTTCATCACCGATTGGGGCACAAACAGGAGGCAACCGATTGATGTCTCTCTCTCTCTCTCTCTCTCTCTCTCTTCTTTCTCTCTCTCTTCTTTCCTCTCTCTAAAAATCAATTAAAAAAAACCAAACATATCCTTGGGTGAGGATTTAAAAAAAAAGATCATCCACAACCTCCTTGTTGAAAACCCAATGGATATTTTCCCTGCCTCAAGGGCATCTTACCCATAGACCATTCCCTTTCCCTGCTGGATTCTTGGCCTGTTTCCAGAACCCTCTTCTCCTATGTGTTCTCTTCACAGGCCCAGTTAGGATTCTGGCCCAGCAAGGTCGGCCTAAGTGACTCTCCTTGGGCACCCGTATCCAGGTTGTCCCTTCAGTTTCCTCTGTGGTCCTTAACTGCCTTTGAGTTAGAGGCGATTAAAAGCAAACTTGCATCGATTTTTGTTCCCAGAAAAAAAAATAGACAAATGCAAAATAAGCTCACACATTTGTAAACAGTTCAGGAGATCCAGAGGCTCTGTGTTACCCACAGAGATCCAGGGAACCCCCTCCTCACCCTCCATCATCACCAGGTGAGGATTATCTGACTGACGTGTTGGTTAAGTCCTGGGTCTCCCTCTCCGCTCTCACTCCTGGGCATCTCAGACTCCACATATCCCCCTCGCATGCTTTGGCTTCCCTCTCCCACCTCGTTCTCCTCCTGTGGGTTCCGTCTCAGCGAACGGCATCACCTTCCAATCAGTTGGTCAAGAATGACTCCTCCCCTCCCTTTCCTACCACATCTCATTGTCGTCACTCAGTCTCTCCGCAGGTTCTGAGATGCCTCCTCCTGAAGCTCTCAGGTCCACCCGGTTCTGGCCGCCGCCACTGCCCTAGTTGAGATCAGCAGCATCATCTTGGATCTGGTTCATCGCGATGGCTTCTGAACAGAGCTTACTGCCTCCAGTCACGCTACTCTCTCACCCAATCTCAACACAACAGTCCAAACCACCGTTTACTCAAAAATATGTGGGTCAACCTGGCTTAGAACCATAGAAAGATTTCCCATTATTCTCAGAATAGAGTCCACGCTCTACAACATGGTCTACAAGTTCCCTGGGAGTCTACGTCTTCTCCCACCAGAATGCCTTTCCCACATGCTCCCCTGAGGCGGGCAAGGCCGGTCACGTGATAAGGCCCTCATTGTCTCTACTACAGACGTGGGTTGTATTGTCACTGTGAGCTCCTGGGAGCAGCAGTCCTGTCTGCCTGATTTACCACAACATCCCTAGCATGTGTCAAGTGCTGGAGCATAAGTACTCAGAAAATATTTGACCAATAAACAGCTGGGCAGAGCACTGCTTGGACACCAGTGCAGACTGTAACTTCAGCAGCAAATCCGGGCCAT